GGGGTCAGAACCAAGGGAGTGGATCTAGCTGAGCCATGGGAGGAGGGATTCTGTGTTGGGGGGGGGGAGTGGGAGGGATCTGGGCGTGGGGAGCAATGGGGGGGGTCTCTTCTTAGCAATAACACCCTTCCTTGGCGGCGGATGCCAGGGGAGGGGACCCCCAGGGAGAGGTCTGACAATGGAGATGGGGGGTGAGAGGGAGAGAACATGACAGAGGGAGAGGGGCGGTCTAGACACACACCCACCCTCTGCATCCCAGGCTCCCAGCTGGGGTGATCCCATGTTCCTGCTCTAGAACGATCTAGAATGTGGCTTGGGTCTCCCAGCTCAGGTGTGGTGGGGATGGACACTGTCACTCTCTTATAGACCAGCCTCCCCCCGGACATCGCTTCCAATCTTGCCACTGGTCTAGAGCGAACAATGTCACTGTGGTGACGTTATCTAGAACTGACCGCCACAGCCAGCCTTCAGGGCGTGAGCTGTGGTCTTTAAGGAACACTACATCCCCTCCCTACGCCACAGTGATCTAGAACAACCTAGACAGGAAATACAAGGCATGATCCAAAACATTGGTGACCGATCGAGAAACAAGAGGTGCCGGTGATGGTCTAGAACATGCCACTAACCCTACCGGCCCTATAAACTAGAACCCCTCCTGAGGGAGGCCTGCTGGTCTGCAGGCTAGAGCCAGTCCCTGTGGGAAGCCTCTGGCATCTGACCTAGAACAGACCTCTGGTCTCCACCTCTTTGCCATCAGCCATCCCACAAGCTCTAGAACAAACCCCCTATTTAGTCACAATCTAGAGCAACCCCAAGTGCCCGCTTTGCCACACAGTCCAGAGCGAGCCTGCTATCTCTGGGGGACACTCTGTCCCCTTATGACAATGATTCTCACCAGCATCCCGTCACTCTGCAATCTAGAACGAACCCTCCGGCTCTTGGATGGGATCTAGAAGGTCCACTCCGCTTGCCTTGTGTTCTAGCCCATGCGCTCGCTGCTGAGATATCATCTATTGCAGCCCCCAGTACTTCCCTCTCAATCTACACTGCTCCAGACACCCCGTGTGATCTAGAACATGCTCTGGGACACAGTCCAGAACCCCAACCCCCCCTTTGTGCTAAAATCTAGAGCACACTCGGCCCTGCCCAGAAATGCCCTAGAATGAACATCAGGCTCTGGAGTCTATAGGAAGCTCCCTTCTCCCATGTGTGATCTAGAACAACTTTCCCAGCATCCCTGACTGCTCTTCCACCGGTTTCTAGAAGAACCCCCCCCCCCTTAACCCACCCAGCACAGAGACAATCTAGCATGACCCACCCTGCACCCAACCCAGACCGGTTTCCTGCTGTCTTTTCTCAGCAGCGTGGTGCTAGAGACAATCATTCCTTGCACTCTCCAGATCACCCGACTTAGAACGTGTCTGATCTAGAACACAGTTGAAAGGAGATTTGAGTTGAAAAAAGTCTTTGTACTTGATCCTGCCCCGTTTGCCTGCCCGGCCTCCTCCTCCAGCTCTGCTGGTGCCCCTCAATCCAGGCCTGCAACCCCCCAGCTCTGCCCCAAATCCAGTCTGGGGGGTCTAGAACAGCAGCTATGCTGTGGGGCGGGGACCTGAATTTGCTCTGCTCTGGAGCAGTGTGGGGGCAGGGGCGGAAATCTGTGACCTTTATCTGTGGATTAATGCAGACCAGCGCTCAAGAGCCGATTCCAGAGCCCGGCTCCTGCGCTGGGTTTTAAACCTGTGTTTTATTTAAATAAAATGGAAAATTTGACAGTCAGCGAGCGGCCGGCCGGGAATGGTTTTCTTGTGCGTCCCAACCAAGACTGTCCCCCCGCCCCCCAATCGCATCAGGCCCTGCCCAGACCCTCCGACCTAGATGGGGGACCCCCTGACTGAGCCGAGAGCCACGTCGCACCAGGCCCCTGCTAGCCCAGCTCTGCCGGTGCCCCTCACTCCTGACCCGCAGCCCCTGCCAGCCCAGCCCTGCTCCCGCCAGCTCTGCCAGTGCCCCT